GGGTGGGGCAAGAACTTCCTTAGTTTGAGCTGTAGGTGCTACAAAATCATTTACATATCTTAGTATCATAGTTAAATGTAATGTGTTTAGAATAATAAAAGGAAACATTTGCTTTAAATCTGTTAAAGAGTTTTTTCGAGTTCACTTTACGGCCCAATCCAATATAACTGGGCTGCGTTGGCACATTTTAAAACACTGTTTTTATGTTGCTTGCAACACGTATTTATTTAATTGCTGATGTAATGCATTTTGGCCAATATCAATTATAGCAGGTTTGGCTATTCCTATTTATTTGTTTACTTAAACTATGGGAAGAAGCATATTGTTTTATTTCTTGTAGTTTTTCTTATAATACTTGATTGACAAGCGTATCAAGGTATCTTGTGTAGAAATATTGTTTGATATGTTGTCATGTTTGTCGTGAATAATTTTTCTTACTGCACAGTAGAAACAAAAACAAACAACAACAACACAACAAAAAACTGGGTCTTTATTTTAATGTTCTTCTGATGGATACAAGAACAGAGCTATGGGCTAAACGTGGAAGGAAAAATCGGCTCTCCCACATCCAGTGCACTGATAATTTTAGTATGTTTGTGCTCTGTACCGTTCTATATTTTAAAAAATAAAACATAATAAAAAATGTTCTGCTCTTCCCTGAGTACTAGGAAAAGTTACTCGCTATGCATAATCTAGTTGATAGTTAAAATTTGCTATTGCTTTTTCTTGTCTTGTTATATCAAATCTTTTCAATACAAGTTTAGTCTTAATGGTAATAAAACGTTGTTATGGTTATATATAACGTGCTTACTTTGTGGTTTTTATTTTTTTTACTCAATGTAGAAGTCAATAACTTCTTCTTTCCCGGTTGAAACTATTATAACAGACAGGAAAAATACATAATATGTGATTTTAAAGCAAATCTGTCATCTTTGATGCTAGATTATAGTGCCGCGAAGGTTGAGACACTTTTAGAAATGACTCTTATTTTATGAATTCCAATGTCATTGGCAAGTAATCAGTGAGAGAAAATCAGTGCTTTTGGCACCTTTTATACAAATGTCCATCACCCTTACAGAGCTTGAAATCATCTGCAATGAAGCTCCAGAGACTCTGCTTGGAGATAGATGGCTCAAGACTGCGCACCATGGTTACATTGCAAACAAAATCAATGTCACCTTGAAATATTAACCTGAAAATTGACAGACTAAGTAGAAACATGTTATTTTTTAGAATTATTAGATGTTGGATGAGTCTTTTTTTTTTTTTAATAAGGTGGCACATATGTCTGGGACAGGAAATAGGAGGAAATGATAGCAACGGACAGCAATGAAAACATTCTGACAGAGTTCCTTTCTCCTTCAGACCTTTGAAGTGTGTTGTGGTGCATGACTTGTACAGTAACGAGGGTTGCTTTACAGCAGCCCTTTCATTTTGAACGGACCAAAGCTAGACATATAAACATAGAAGAGTGATGGTAGAAAAAGACCAAGTGGTTCATTAAGTCTTCTCATTTGTGATTTTTTTGGGGGTGTTTTATGTTTGTTTGTTTTTCTTTTTCTTCTTTTAACCTTTTTTCTGAGTTTAGATCTATGGGTGCCCCAAGAATACTTAGATTCACTTACAGTTGAATGGCTCACTACCTGCTGATAGTCTGTTCCAAGCATCAACTTCTGTTTTGGAAAAATAATACTTTCTAAGGTTAGTTTTGTAGTTTTGACCCCGTGTTCTTGATCTTCATATTGAAAATACTGCCCTCCTGAACCTTATTTACACCCAATATATTTAAAGCTTTCAATTATGTCCTCCATTTTTCTTCTTTCCTCATGACTGTACATATTAAGTTCCTGCAGTCTCTCCTGATATGTTTTATTCCTCAGACCTTTCACCATTTTTGTTGCCCATATCTGGACGTCTGTCATATTAATTTATTTTTGTATGTGAGGTCTCCAGAACTGGACATAGGTCTAACTAAAGATCTATATAGGTGAATCGGGACCTCTTGCTGGGGATCCCCCCAGTGATTCACCCCTTTAGAATTCTATTTGCTTTTCCCACTGTCATGCAACACTGTTTGCTCATTTTGCAGTCATCTGAAATAATCTCCATAATTCTGGTCAACACTGTACCTCCAATATTGTACTCTGGTAGGGGACTATTTTCCAGAAGTGCATTATGTTGCATTTAGAAACATTGAAACAATAAGAAGGCAAACATGTCTGCCAAACAAACCTATAGCTGTATTGAAAGTATAATTGTTTGCCATTATTATAATTCTATGCTAGCCATGCAACGTTTTGGTACTCAAGTCCACAGACACCTTTTTCTAAATGTGGCATTTAAAAAAAAAAAAAGCAAAAAAGAGCAACTAATATTTGAATTGCGGTTAGTAAATAGACTTTTGGACAAGGGTCAAACTGACACATTTCCCTGGTGAACAAAAATATACTTTTTTTAATAGGCTTAAAAGATGAGTTGATTAATGTAATTGTTTTTTGTTTTTTTCCCCCTCCTTTGTGAGTAATGGTGTGTTTTGTGATTTTGTGTTTCGAGGAAAACAATGAATTGCGGTTAGTAAATAGACTTTTGGACAAGGGGCAAACTGACACATTTCCCTGGTGAACAAAAATATACTTTTTTTTAATAGGCTTAAAAGATGAGTTGTAAAACAACAAGCATTCACAAAAATGCTTCTCAGAGACACACAAAAAGTGTGTCTCTGTTGCCAAGATTTTGTACTTCCTGTCTTGGTGACATAACAGGGAATAAGGGGATACTTCACCACTAGGGACACAGACATTAATAGACATCCTACAGAGGCAGTAATCCTTCCGTACTACATCAAAGAATAGGTTTGTCAAAATGTGCAATATTTTACCAATACGTTGTCATTTACATAATTTAGTTTAATATAATGTAATTAGGATGTAAATAAAATAATCATAATAACAAAAATACTGTTAGACAATTGATTGTGTATTAAGACATAGTATTTACATTGCATTTATAAGTTGTTGTTGTTGTTGTTGTTATATGTATTATTTTTGATTTTGCTCAAATTTTATTAGTACTAATAATAGTACGCTATTCTGTGTACTACAGCAACACATTTATATTTTTTGTTTGAGTGGTATATGTTTGTCGAGTACTTACAACTCTATTGTATATGCTTATTTCTTAAAATCTAAAAACAAGAATGCTATTTGGATATAACCAAGAAATAATAATTTAGGAAATTTGTCAAGAGAAACATGGAGGTTGCCATTAGAACAAATAAGCATCACTCCTTCATGGCTCAGGAAAGAAGCATCACTCCTCCATGGCTCAGGAAAGGAATGAGCTGGGAGCTTGCCCATGGGAACACGTCCTTGCTCCAATATGAGCCCATACAAACAGTAGAAAAGCTGACTGCACACCGGATTCTGCTGGAATAGTTTATCAAAGCTTGTACCACATCACTGGTGTCCTGGCCAAGGTCTACTCCTACTGACGTGTTCCACCCAATCACAGGCTTGGGTTCTAATCATTAAGTCCATGACTGGGTAAAATGTGTCAGAGGGGTGGACCTTGGGTGGGACACCAGTGAGGTAATACAAACTTCAATAAACTAATCCAGTGGAATTCGGTGTGTGGCCAGCTTTTCTTCTGTTTGCATGGAGGTTGCCATTGTTGATAATGCTAAATGTTAATAACATTTTACAGAGGATCTAGTGCTTTCCTTGAAAGTGCAATTATCATTTTCAAATCACTCATTTCGTACTAGAGTAGACCCTATAGTTATTAGGGTGCTGGAACCACTCCTTACTGGTGAAGAACATGGATAAGATAAGTCACCAAGATACCTACAGGTTTTTTGCAATGCCTCTACTTTTTTATTGAAAGATCACGTAGAGTTGAATGTTTTGGGATTACACAGGGACCCTTCACCCTGGCAGAGCCAGCATCATGGATAGGCCTTCCCAAAATGTGTCATTGGCCCTCTTCATATACCATTTCCATAGTAAGGGTGGCTACTCAATAAACTGTATGTAACCCAAGATCTATATGCCAGTATGTTTATCATGTCTCACTCTATACAGACTTTGTCCTGTTGCAGACTGATAACACTAAGCCACTGCCTGCAATGTTGTTAGTCTGCTGAGTACGCTCCTTCAGTGCTTCTTGGGCTGTTTATCAGGACTCTCAGATAGCCAGCCCAGTGGACAACTGAAGGGAGAGCACACGACAGGCTGACAATGCAGATGCAAATTGTGATGTAATAGCCAGTGCGGTTACTGGAGAATCTCCAGATAAAAAACTTTGCAAAAGATTCATTAAAAAAAACTTTCTTAAAGTGTATGTAAAAACAAAACAAAAATTTAACAGATTGCAGCTTACCAGTCCTTTGATGTGGTGGCTGCATTATTTTTTCATTTAATTTTGTTCAGGCTTTTTATC